GCCCCGCGCGTGCGAGGTGGTCTCTGCCCCCGGGCCGACTAGCCGGGGGAGGGTGGGAGAAGGCAGCAGTGGCGGGGCAGGCAGACAGGTCTTGGGTTTTGCACGCAGGAGGGAAGTTCATGCACTCGCCCAAAGACTCGGCCAGGCTGCAGAAGAGCCAGGACTGCCGCGTCCCGGGTCAGCGCCTGGCTTAGCCATGTCACCGCCAGGCTTCCCTGGAGCAGAGGAGCCTGTGCAGTGACTCTCCCATGTCCCTCAAAGACCCCCGTGGCCTCACCCAGATCTGCTGGGGGCTCAGCCCCCTCGGGCTCCAGTGCTTCCTGGCCCCTGCAGAGCCCACGCAGGAGGTGGGGGCAAAGCCAGGCACAGCCCCCAGGGCTCCTCGGTCCGGATCCCACGCCCTCTCCGTGGCACCGCGCTGATCCGTTTGCCCTCCTCTGGCACTGGCATTGCTGACATCGGTTGCCCCTGCATTGATGCCTGGCCTCGGGCCCATGGGTCTAAGGCCTCCTGGCCTCGTGCTTTATAATAAAGCAGGGGCTGGTACCAGAGAGGTTGGAGCAATGGTCCGGGGCAGCTATCGTGGGGGTAGGTACCTCCCCCAGCCCTGCCCACTCGGGAGCTCGTTGGTCAAAGCCTCAGGGGCATCTCAGGTCGGTCCTACTTCTCTCTGTGCTACAGGAGGGGGAAACTGAGTCCCAGGGTGAAACGATGGGCCCCCCCGCCCCATGCATCAGGAGCCCTGCCCCCGGCTCGGTGCTTGCCAGGGGCTGCGACGAAGAGAGGAGCGCGCTGAGGACTCTTGCACGGGGCCTTTGCACAGAGGCACGGTTCTGGCAGCTGCCCGCGGAGCAGCAGTGCGTGTCGTTACCCGCCCACGGGGCTGAACTGCACAGAAGTGTCGGCTGCCCTGGGCACCGGTCCATGGGAACGCGCCCTTCCTAACAAGTGTCGAGGCCCTTCCCAGCCCCCTGATGCACTGTCCCTGGCAGAGGGCTGCTGGCAGGGAGCACGTGTGCAACAGTCACAGGTCAGTGTGCAAATGGCTCTTAAAGAGATGCTACGCGAGGCAGGGAGAGAACGGGGAAGCAGTGTCGGCGTCCCCCATGCACCGTCACCCAGCCTGGCCTGTGCGCAGGCCCGTGGGAGCAGTCGGCTTCGTCTACATGGCCCTGCCAGGGGGGTCGGGGCAGGGGGTGTTGTAGCTGGTGGCCCCCAACCAAGGAGGGAGGTACCGTGACCCGGCTTGGCTCCCTGGATCCAACGCTGTCCCGCCAGGGCTTGGCGGAGCTGCAGGCACAAATGGCTCCAACAACCGAGCCGGAGCCACGGGGGAGTGTTTGGCACGGGGCGCGGGAAGGACGCAGAACCCATGTGCTTTTGAAGCTAATTAGCTGCACGAGGCTGCTTCCCCGTGTGCGGCGGCTCCATCTGAGCCCGGGGGTGGAGGGGGTCTCGGGTGGGTTGGTCCCCCAGCCGTGCAGCTGGGGGACCGACCCCGACAGGCTGCAGCCTCGGGACAGACGGCTGGGTGCGAGGGCTTTCCTGGCAGGTGTGTTCCAGGGGTCTTTATCCCTGTCCACGGTTGTTGCCCCCCTGGGGGGCACTCGTGGGGCAGAATGGCTCCTTGAATTAAACCGTCAGCTGCTGGCCACCAGAGCCCCCCCAGACCCTTCCAGCCTCATCGACCCAGCGTGCGTCTGCCTGTGCGCACACCACTGGCCTCCCCCAGGGAACTGGAACGGCTCGGGTGCCAGACCAGGGCCCCAAAGCGCACGGGGCTGTACGCACATACAAGGGAGACCTTCCCAAGAGCCTGCTCTAAGACGCGTCTCATCCGAGATGCTTCCAGGTACGTCTACGTAGGGTCACCCCCTCGTCCGAAACGGCCAAGCACCTCCATCGGGGTTTCCTGACCTGCGCCTCCTGTGAGCCACCCGCCTCGGCCAGCCTATCGCAGAATTTCCCTGGGGCTTGTAACCCCGCTTCTCAGGGGCTGATCCCCCATTTGGGGTCGCGACCCCTGCTTTGGGAGATGCAGACACGGGATGCTCTGGGGCCGTGTGCCCCCGGCTCCCCCAGGAGGTGCCGGCACAACCCTGCGCCCTTGGCTTTCAGCCCATCTGCCCCCTGCTTCCTGCCTCTATTGCCCCTGATTAGAAACAAGCACAGGGGAGAGACAAGTGGCCGGCGGGCTGATTCCTAGAAGGGCTCCGTATCTGATCCCAGGATGACTACTGCTAGTGTCACCGGCTGGAGCACCGAGCCAGAGATGGGATTGTGCCACCCACGTGCCGTCTATGCACACGCCCTGCACTTGCACCTGCACCCTGGCCAGGGGAGCCAGGCGGAGCCCTAGCCGGGTGCCCAGGGACGTGCACGGCTCAGGGAGCCCACCCCGGGACGGGCCGAGAGGAGCAGCCCATCCCCTGCGGCTAAGAGATGCTGAGCATCTTGCAGGGAAATGCATCCCACTGCCCCCCCGCGCTCCTGCCTCGTGGAGACCCGCTCCTCCGGGTCAGCTGCTGGAGTGGTGCACATGTACCC